GGGACGAATGACTCAATCACCCATGGGCTGCATGCTACCGGATGTCAGACGGCATGCAGAGGAGATAGAAAAGACATATCAGTGCGTAAAAAAAGACACCTTGTGATGTTATGTTATACAAAAAACAAAAAACATTAATGGTCGAGGGCCCACTGAAGACAGCATAATAACAAGACACCTGCAGACAGTCATGAAAATTTCCATCTCACCACAGCCAAATGGCAGACAAGAGAGCATGCTGAAAATGAGAAAAGCCTGTGCAGGTACAAAAGAAAAACAATTTGCTATCAGTCGCATCAATACATTTTCACAGTAAAGGACAATAGTTGGTCTAGTAATGAAGAAAATTGCTGGTATGGATTGAAAGAACAAAAAAAGGTAGTGAACAAATACTGTATACTTTTTATTTTTTTGGAGGTCTGGTAAAGTAAATACAACATTAAGTGTCTTTCAGTCAGTGTTGCTGAGCCTCTACGTGTGACCATTGCTCCTCTTTCGTACTGTAGTACATGTATCTTTCCCCTTGTCACATTACATCATTTTGTTGTTTGCAACTGACGAACCAGCAATTCAGGTGTAAATCACAATGACATAGGGAGCTACAAGCAAAACATGTTAAAACATCAATAAACAGAATTGTGAGAGACAGATTGAAAGAAGAATGGCCAGAATTAAAGCAGTAGGCTAGAGGAAGAGATACCTGGACACCAACGCTGTTTACTAGAAATGGTGTTTATATGCAAGTAATTTGGAACAGCAAATATGTTTTGAAGCAAACGTAATGGATTCAGCCTGGATTACATTTTCTATTAACATAATGAGGAAATGTTGTTGATACTGAAAATCAGTAAAATGTTCACTGACAACAAAATTGAAAATTTCCAGCAAAAATATCAGATCGTGCAATGCAATATACTCTCATTGTCAACAGTCTAAAAACATTTTTATGATTTTTTTAGTAACTAACAGGCACTTGCAGCACCCGTTTAAGGTTAGGGAAAGATCGAGGTCTTGGTTTAATACAGTTAAAGTCTGCAGTGACTTGAATCGAAACATGATTATCAACATTTACCAAAACCACAATATTTCCCCTACCCAAAGAGCTTTTGTTGTCTGTTTTAGCCAAACACGGGACTTGGGATGCAAACTCCATTCTCTAGAGTCAAAGAGCTGCGCTTTGTATTTAAAATAAACGTAGCCTGTGAGCATAATCCAGGCAGAGAGGTATAGATGTAATTTCTAGGAAATACTGGATCTTCCAGAATACAACTCAATGGCATCTTTTGTTGGACTATCATCAGGGAAATCTTCAATTGACATTATACAACATTTTTAATCCATGACGAGTTAATTGGCTTTGATGCGTTAAAATGTCATGGTGTTCCTTTAATCCAGGTCTGTCTGACAAACCTGTTTACTTCAATATAAAAACACAGACATGAAAGCCAAATAGAGACTACCCTGAACTGCTGGTCCATCACATAAAAATTGTGTGTAAGAATCAATAACATTATGAGAATGGGTTTCTTTTAGACCACCATGTTGTATTGAAAGGGGTTTCAGTTATTTTTCTGTCCGTCCCCTGTAGCTGTGACACACAACTAGTCAGCCACTTGCCAGACGAGTTATTCTGAGAGATGTGGGGGTTTTTTTCTCTTCCACACAATGAAATATGGATAAGAGTGGTGGGGATAGTGGGCAGCTGTCAACAAATTCCACAGCGTCCCGCCACCACTGATCAATCAGTCGTGTATCTGAACCACAACAGTGCTGACCTGCTGGCTAGAGCTGACATTAATACTAAATCTTCCAGTCAGTGTGGAGGAACGTCAGGACACAACATGGTGGTGGTGGTGGGAGAGAATTCTGATACGGGCTCTAACAAGGAAAGGTGCTGACGCTAATGAGTGTATCTGTGGCTCTCTAACAAGCCTGCATCGTTTGATGTCCTAATTTACAGTGAGCTGTGTCTCAGGGGTGCAGGATAATGAGCTGGCCCGGGATTCCCAGGGCAGCAGCTTGTGTAACCCACCTCATGCAGGGGACACTTTGTGTAAGTGAGAGACAGAGAGAGAGA